AAAAAAAAGAGAGAGAGAGACAGAGAGAGACAGAGAGAGACAGAGAGAGAGACAGAGAGAGAGACAGAGAGAGAGACAGAGAGAGAGAGAGACAAAGAGAGAGACAGTCAGAGAGAGAGAGAGAGAGATGACTGTGGAGTATCTTTTCTAAAAACACTGGGACAAGTACTCTAGCCAGGGCCTAAAAATATGAGTTCTCTGTTCATCTGTATATCTCCTTAGAACAGGGCCTTAAGCCATAGAGATGCTGAATATCAGTCTTAGTCTTTTAGTGTTTCTCAGCATTTCTAACACCACTTTAGAGCTAGTTAATCCTTTGGATAGGGCGCTGTCCTGTGCGTTAGAGAGCTATAGCACCACCCTTGGCCTTTGACTGCCAGACCTCAGTAGCAGCTGGGGTGTAGCAAGCAGAAATGTGCTCGGATATCACCAGATGCCCCCTTCTGAGCAAAATCACGGCTAGTCAAGAGCCACTGACCTATAGTAAACTTTTTGTGTGTGTGTGTGGAACCAGGGATTGAACTCAGGCCCTTGCGCTTGCCAGGCAAGTGCTTATTCTACTGGGCCATCTCCCCAGCTCCTTTATAGTAATCTTTTGATTAGATTATCAATAATCTAAAGTTCCGATTCAATAAATCCATCAGAAGTTTTGATCAGAAAGTAAGTCTGAAAGCATCATTTGGTTTTCTGACCAACTAAATTTTTTTCTTTTTTTCATTCCAGGTGTTCTCAAAGTCAAAACAATACATTTGGAGAGCTCCCAAAAGAGTGTTCAGCCCTAAACTTAGTCTCAAGTCCCACAGAGGCGACAAATGGTGAAGGGCAGTCAGAATGAAGTTTAGTTTTTTCTCAAAATAAAATAAAAGTCAAGACTCAGGGTGTCACTTGTTAGAGAGCACTTACCTAGCCTATGTGACACCATGGGTTCCATCCTCAACATGGGGGTGGGGAGGAGGGAACAAGAACAGTGTGGTGGCTCCGGAGCGCCACCTACTGGGGGAGGTTGTAAAAAATTAAAAGCTCAAATAACCCATGTTTGAGAATTATTTTTCAATTTTAATCTGTATTGAGTTTTTGCATAGGTAATAACTCACATGGTTGAAACATGTAGTCAGAAGTTCCCCTCTCCCTCCAGTCTCAGCCACCCGGTTGCTGCCCTGGAGACAAACTAATGTTTTATTCATCTTCCCGGAGGTAACCTAGGAATACATATTGCTCCTATTTCTCCTGTTGCTTTACACAAATGGTATCAACCTATATATCTGGCACTTTCCTGTAGCAAAACTTAACAATTATCTCACACCAGTGTATGAAGAACTTTTTTATACAGCTACACCATCTAGATACACCACAAGTCAGTTAACCAGGTATCTATTGGTGGACATTTGAAATTGATTCCAATCATTTATTCATAACAATCCTATCACTAACAATGTATAAATGTCATTTAAAAATAACTACAGTGAACTATAAATTGCATGTCATAAAATTCACCCATGTTATGTGATGTGATGTCACCTGCTATTAATTTTTAGTAAATTTATCCCCTTCACCATCACTATATCATTTGACCTTCCCCTCATGCCCTTAAAATGCCCTGTTGTGTTTGCAGTCACACCCTGTTCTCATCCTCCATCCTCGGGACTCACAAATCTTATTATGGTCTCCTTAGGCCTGCCTATCTTGGATATTTTCTATAAATGAAAGCATACAAGAAAAGGTCTTTGGGGTGGGGATGTAGCTCAGTGGCACAGTGTCTGCCCAGCTAGTGCAAGATCCTGAGTTTGATTCCTGGTACCAAAAAAAAAAAAATGGCCTTTGAATCTTTTAGTATGTTTAAGGGTTCATTTATGTCGTATCACATATCAGCATTCTGTCTCATTTTGTTATGGAATAATCATTTTATTACACGCACATTCTGTATTGTGTTTATCCATTCACTGCCCAGGGAACATTTACATTGTTTTCATTTTGCTACTATAACTAATGCCATGAATATTCTTGTGCAAGCTTTTGTGTAGTCATGTGTTTTCATTTCTCTGGGCTAAATGTCCTGGTGTAAAGAATTTCTGGATCACATGGCAAGTAACTTTTTTTTTTTGAGACAAGGTCTCACTGTGTAGTTTAGGCTGGCCCTGACCCTGAACTCACTATGCAGCTCCAGTTGACCTCGAACTCCTCAGCCTCCCAAGTGCTGGAATTACAGGCATGAGCCACCATGCCTGGCTTTCTTTACCATTTTTTTTTTTCTGTAGTTTAGGGAAGGGTCTGCAGGATGTTCAGGATCTCACTACTAAATCAGACTAGTAGTGATTCGCCTGTTTACAGCCTCCTAAGATCTGGGATAACAGGCGTGCGCCACCACGCCCGGGCTCAATCGCCCTCTCTGTGTGCCTTGGGGTTGGGTCTGCACCGCAGGCCTGGGAATTGAACTCCCGGCCCCTGTGTCTGCCTAAACAGGTGCTTTAATCCACTGTGCTATTTGGCCAGCCCTCTACCATTTTAAGAAACTGCCAAACTATTTTCCAGCTGGTCGCACAACTTTACATTCCCACCAACAACGGATGAGGGCTGTTGTGTTTCTGCATCCTTATCAATGTTTGTCATTGTCTGGCTTTTGTTATTTTGTTTTGATAATTTTTTTCTTTTCTTTTTTCTTTTTTTTAATATTTTATTGAGAAACAAATAGCAATGAGACAGTTTCAAAACTGATTAGTAGGACAATTTCAATAATTAATACATTACATATTATTTTCTTCTTAGTGACTATTCATAGTACAAGATGCAAACATGCTATGCTGTCCACAAACACTATTAGTGCAAATCTTCCTATTCATTGAGTTAAGAGAAAGTAACTGTATATCTATCCTATTCTGAATATACAGATACAAAATGGTCCTTCATTTATATCCCCTTTTTTGTTTAGTTTTGTCAGATATGGGTATTCCATTGTCATTTAAATATTGTTGCGTGAATTCAGCAAAATAATCCAATATAGTCCAGTAGTCCATAATAGGACTGGCAATGCCTGAAGTTGTTATCTTGAGCCTTTTACAGCTCAGCATATTAATATGGCTTTACTTTTCTTATGTTTTGTTAATTTTTAAAAAGGAAAAAAGATAAACATTAGAGGAAAACCAAGTTTCAAAACAGATTAGTAGGACAGTTACAAAAGTTGATACTTTTTTTCCACTGTCTGTTCTAATATACTCACTTAAGTGAATATAAAACATCTTGTGGATATTTGTTTGTTTATTTGTTTGTTTTTTGAGACAGGGTCTTGCCATGTAGTTCAGGGTGGGCTTGAATTCATGATTTAGCCCAGGCTGGCCTTCAATCCATGGTGATTCTCCTGCCTCAGCCTCCCAAGCACCTAGCTAGTTCTCTTTTTAATATGCATTTTCCTAATCACTATCTTTTTGTGTGCTTATTAACTACTTATATAGCTTTCATGAAATGTCATTGCACATGGTAGCACACACCTATAATCCCAGCACTTGGGAGGCTGAGGCAGAAGGATTTCTGTGAGTTCAAGGCAGCCTGGAGTAAATAGTAAGCTCAAGACTGGCCTGAAGTACATAGTGAGACTCTGTCTCAAAAAGACAAAAAAAAAAGTCTATTCAAATCTTTTCTTTTCTTTGTTTGTTTGTTTGTTTGTTTGTTTCGAGAAAAGGGTCTTACTGAGCTTCCCAGGATGGCCTTAAATTTGTCACTCTCCTGCCTCAGCCTCCCAAGTAGCTGGCATTACAGGTATTCACCTCCACTCCCAGCCTTTTATCCATTTTTAAGTTAGATTGTTTGTTCTTACTATATAGTTGTAGGGTTGTAGTTTTGGACACAAGTCCTTTATGAGATATGCAATGGAAAAAACTGTATTTCTTGATTGTTTTTTCAGACAGGGTCTCACTGTGTAGTCCAGGCTGGCCTTGAACTCACAGCCACCCTCCTTCCCTGGCTTCCTGAGCGCTGGGATGACAGGCACATTCCACCACATTCAACTGGAGACATTTTCTACCAGGCTTTGGTTTTTCTTTAGATTTTCTTAATGGTGTCTTTTGAAGGACAAGAGTTTTGAATTCTAATGAAGCACACTTTATGGGTTTTTTTAATTTTACGTGTTGTACTTTTAGTGTCACATTGATATAGGGATGGTATATGGCTGCCAAATAATCTAAATAATATAAAGGAGATATAATTTCCAACCTGCTAAATGTCTGAAATACTGAATTTATGTTCTTTAAAATTGAGGAGTGAATTCTAGGAACAACAGAGTTAAGAATAGGAAGAATTTATTGAAAGAAAGCTTCTAAGAAGGACAGAAGGGGGGCTCAGAAAGTGGGTTGCCTGGGGACCTCATTTTACACGGTGTTTTATTGAGCGAAGCCACAAATTGAGGAGGGTTCAAGGGGGGACAAAACTGTAGTTACAAGTCCAATCACTTTGGTAATGTTAACTAAATGAGAAGCAAGTTGGGAAGCAAGCCACACAGCAAGAGTACATAGGCTGGACAATGAGTATCCTGGAAATGGTGGTTAAGGAGGTCTTGGCCCTCCACCCCAAGGTGATTGATGGCTGTTTAGGTATCAGCCATTGCTGTTCACCCGCAGGAGAACTGTATGGATAGAGTTGTTTTTCTTTTCTTTTTTGTTTATGTATTTTTTAGTACAGGGTCTACAGGATCATCTCACTACACAGATCAAACTTGGAATGATCCTCCTGTTTTCAGCCTCCCAAGAGTTGTGATTACAGGCATGCACCACCAAACTCAGTCTTATTCGCCATCTCAGTGCGCCCCAGGTTGGGACCAGCATGGCATGCCGGGGATTGAAGCCCAGTCCTTGCCTCTGCCTAAGCAGGTGCTTTATCCACTGAGCTATCTGGCTGGCCCTCTTTTTCTTTTCTTGAAGCCTGGCCTTCAGTGAACGTGCCTGCAGCCCCAGCTGTCTTCTGCACTGACCTTCCAAAGGCCCAGCCGTATCTTACTGTCTACAATATTTCTAAATAATTTAGCTGGGCTGGGGAGATAGCTTGGTGGTCTAAGTGCCTGCCTGGCAAGTGCAAGGACCCTGGGTTCAATCCCTGGTACCCTTTGGTGGCTGCCCCTCTGTGCCAGCCACCAAAACCAGGCATGTTGGCACATACCTATAATCCCAGTTCTGGGGAGGCTAAGACAGGAGGATCACTACAAGTGCAAGCTGTGTGGTAAGACCCTATACCAAAACACCTGCCTGGCAAGCCAAGGTCCTGAGTTCCATCCCTGGTTCAGCAAAAAA